TATCAACATTCTTTAAAAGACACTATCATTGAAAAAAGGTTGTCTTTAAACAGGGCACTTGTTTGCGACCACAGCTATATCTTGTATGTTGTAATATCAACTTTTTTGTTCGAAAATTTATCTCGGATGGGATAATGGCTCCTTGTTTAAAAGTTTCGCTTTCTAGCCACCAAGTCGCCCGCGTCGCGCAGTGGTTAGAGCGTCTGCTATAGAGTCGTAAAGTAAGGAGTTGATCCATACGTCGTGGGTTCGAATTTGCTGGAAGAGGGACCGTATAAACCGAGGTCCCATGTCGCAGTAGGTGCTGGCATGAAAAAGATCCCTCCCTGCTCAATGGCCCTGAGTGCCGAATACAGGACAAAATTTGCAGCTCTCCACCGGCAAATGATGAGTGAAAAATTCTCGATAGGGACGTTAAACAATATGCAATCAATCAATCAATCTAGCCACCATGTTTACAGACTGATATTTTACGCACCAATGCATACACAATCGAAACAACACTTAAAATGGAAATTTATAAAATAAACAAAACAAAATACATACAGAAGTAAATTTGCTGCGTGTTCATATGACACAATTTACACACTTGAACTAATAATTTGCTACAAAGTGTATGCAAAGTTAATTTGCACCTAGTGCTGACAGGTGTAAATTTACTCAACTGTGCAGAATTTGCATATGAGTATTTCAGTTCATACGACAAAAATTGCACATGTGAGTAAATTTACTCATGTGTAAAATATACTGAGGTATGCAAATCATGTCGTATGAATGGGGTAAAATATCGAATAAGTTAGGAAATGTCATACCATATTAAGTTATTGTATGTGATCACATCATATGCAGGTTATTGGGGAACATACTTCATAAATGAAGCAAGGAATCATAAACTTAAAACCATTCCGTTGTCATGCAGTTTACTTATAAATTGGACTTTATCATCTTTAGTCAGTAAAATATCCAAAATCTACACGTTTTATTCAATAGATGCATTTTTCCTTAAATGTCTCAAAAACGCTAATTTTATGTTTTACTTTAAGGAGTTATCGTCCATGTCACGACCGGTTCACAGGCCTTTGGATCGCTTAAAAAATTTAGTGTGTAAAAAAAATTTCAACACCTCAATTTTTTTTTCTAAGCGATCTAAAGGCCTGTGGATCGGGTAAATAGAGAAATCTGTAGAAATTCCATGTGAATATAATCAACTGACAATATGCATGATAAACGTCAGTCAGCATATTCGACTGAATGATTTTCAAACAAAGTCATTATATCGAAAAAAGAATTTTGAAAAAAGGTTGTCTTTAAACGACTGTTATTACATGTATGTTGTAATATCAACTTATTTGTCAGTAGCTTGATCCAAAATACATGTGATTTTTGTATATAGTTATCTAAATAAGGTTATTTCTGGAAGAGGGTTGTATTTCGATATAACTAATTTTATCAGACGATAAAGATCGGGATTTTTAGAAACACAAATTTATCGCGTTTTCCAACTATTTCTCCTGGTGGCAGTAAGACGACAAGGGGTAAAGCCTTAGGGAAGCACAGCGTCCGACTAGATCCCTTATGACACCCAAACAGACATTCACCATCGGACGCTGGAATGTGCGAACAATATATCGAGGAGGAGCTTCAGCACAGATTGCGAAAGAAATGGAAGGAAACCAACTAGACATTCTGGGAATCAGTGAGTGCAGATGGACGGAAGCTGGGAAGACGAGACTGGCCTCAGACCAGACCGTCATATACAGCGGGGATAAAGAACTATATGAGGGAGGAGTTGCCATAATGATCAGCCAGCAGGCAATGAAAGCACTCATAGAATGGACATCCATCAGCAAGAGAATCATGACAGCACGATTCCATTCAAGCAACAGGATAGTGTCGTTGATCCAAGCATATGCGCCATATAATCAAAAGATAGAAGGGGAGAAAGACCAATTCTATCAGGAGTTACAAGGTCTTTGGATGGATGTAATAAGAACGACATTATTATTATCATCGGGGACCTCAACGCCAAGGTAGGGAGTGACAATGATGGCTATGAAGAACTATGGGTATCCATGGCCTGGGAACATAGAACGAGAAAGGAGATCGAAAGACTGTGTGAATTTAGGAAGATCAACGGACTTGTAATCACAAAAACATTGTTCCCCTTAAAGATAAACACAAAGCAACATGGGTGTCTGTTACTGGAACAGTGAAAACCCAGAATGACTATCTTCTCATTAGTGGACAGTGGAGATCTTCTGTTCTTGAACTGATGCCAACAGCGACCACTACCTGGTGAAGACCCGATTCAATCTACGGCTCGGCACACACAAGAATAAGATCAAGATGAAATCAAAATTGGATTATAATGTCTCAAAAACAACGAAGTAAAAGCAAAGTTCAATGACTGTGTGAGAAAGAAATTAGAGGAGCACAGGGAAAAGACTGAAGATGTCGGGAAATTGTGGGAACAGCAGAAGATGACATATGTGAATTCAGCAAAGGAAGGACTTGGCAACAGGAAAGGCAAAAGTACTAGTAAACCTTGGATCAGAGAAAACACCTGGAAATTGATAGATGGAAGGTAAGACATCAAGACAAAGATAGAGAGCACAAGATCAGAAAGAGTCAAGACTAGGTTGAAGGAAAATTACAGGGAGGTAGACAAAACAGTCAAGAAAAGTGCGAGAGAGGACAAGAGGAGATGGATGGCATAGAAAGCTGAGCGAGCACTAAAAGCAGCCGAGAACAGGAGGCAGAAAGAACTGCACAGCATAAGTAAAGAGCTGACAAGAAAGAGTAATAAACAAACAGCAGCGGTGAAGAGCAAAGATGGAGAGCTGCTGTAAAATAAAAAAGCGAGGCTTGCCAGATGGAGGGAACATTTTGAGGAAGTGCTCAACAGGGATACTCCAGAGTCACTATCACAAGATGAACCTGAAGAGGGCTAGACATCTCGGTTGAGTCACCCACTACAAAAGAATTAAGGACTGCACTGAAGACGCTTCGGAATGGGAAGGCCCCTGGAGCAGATCAAATAACTGCAGAGATGTTAAAGGCAGACCTTGATAAAAGCAGCCAGGAATTGAAGCGCACCTTTGACCAGATATGGAAGGAGGAAAAGGTGCCCAAAGAATGACCAGAGGACTGATCTGTAAAATCCCCAAGAGAGGCAACTAACAGGACTGCAGCTACTGGAGTCACATTGCTGTCCTTAGCTAGCAAAGCACTCAGCAGGATCATCATCAACAGAACCAACAGAATACAGGCTGGAGTTGACCGCACCCTTAGGAAAGAGCAGGCAAGGTTCCGGACAACCAGATCATCATCAGGAACATCCTGGAGCAAGTCAACGAGTGAAATGCTACACTGTCCATCCAATTTGTGGACTTTGAGAAAGCTTTCGACTCGGTGTACATAGACAGCCTTTGGGTCATCATGAAGAAAAATGGAATACCCATAAAACTGATTACGATGGCCAAAGCCTTGAATGACAATTTTCAGTGTTCAGTGATTGATGACAACGAGACCACAGACCCTTTTCCTGTGATGACTGGTGCCAAACAAGGATGCTGGATGTCAGGCTTCTTGTTACTACGAGCAACAGACCGTTAGAGAAAATAGATCAGGATTTAGACAGGACTTAACAACTATGATTGAAGACCTTGACTTGCGAACGACATTGCCCTACTGTCATCAGCAATGAACCATCTTCAGTCAAAGACAACAAAACTGGAAGAAAAAGTTGATTGAAGTTGAATGCCAAGAAGTGCCATGTGATGAAGATAAATAGCAAGAGTGAAATCAGCCTGGCAGTCGGAAACAGCGAAGCCGACGAGGTAGACAGCTTTACATACCTCGGCGCCAATGTCACCAAGCTTAAGGATAGAGGAGGAACTTCAGACATCAGGGAGAGGATAGCACTGTGTGGTGTATCCTTCAAGAGGCTAGCCAACATCTGGAACACTACAACCATCAGTAGAAAGATAAAAATCTCCCTCTTCAAGAGCCTGGTCCTCTCTGTATTGTTATACGGATGTGAGACTTTGAAGCTTACCAAGATAGAGGAAAAAAGATTGACATCTTCCAGACCAAGTGTCTCAAAAGAATTCTTAAGGTCAGATGGCAGCAGCATACTGCAGTATCCCAAACAAGACAGTTTTGGAGATGGAAGAAGCAGAAAGCATCAGTGAGGTGAGGAGAAGAAGATGGAATTGGATCGGCCATGTGCTTAGGAAGTATTCCATGGATGACTGTGTTGTGGCCATCGGGTGGACGCCTGAGGGGGAAGGGAAGCGAGGCCGTCCCAAGACAACATGACGGCGGATGGTGTAGGTGGAACAAAATAATGCAGGCTGGAACTCCGGGAACACGGCACGCTGTGCAGCCTCAGACCCGCCCCAGTGTAAAAGAAATGTTCAGGCCGTGTGTGCCTCCTGGCATGGTAAGAATTAAGGTTAAGGTAACCTTTACTTTTACGATTGACCTAATTTTTTTAAAAGTCAACTTCGGTGATAACTTCTGATTGACATACAAAAGAACGTTCATATTTGACACAATATGTCATAAAACATGACATCTCATCTACAAAGACACCGAAAACTACCTAACTACCTTTTCCTTGTTGCACCCGGAGGCCCATAGGGCAAGGACTAAGGATTTCCATTCTTTCTGTTCTTAGCTATCTTCTCCACCTCTCCCCAGGTTTAGATTTATTTCCTTTAGTTCCTTTTACACGGTTCGCCTCCCTGTTGATTTTGGTCGGCCTTTCCTCCTTTTCCCTTCTGGGGTCCATCTTAGTGCCACTCTTGTGATGTCTTATGTCCTATAGTTCCTTTCCCACCGTTTGCCTCCATGTTGTAGTTGGTCGGCCTTTCCTCCTTTTTCCCTTCTGGGGTCCATCTTAGTGCCACACTTGTGGTGTAATTTATTGGCTTTCTCAAGACATGGTCTATCCACCCCTATCTGTATTTTATTAGTAAGGTCCTCATGTCTGTTGTTTATTTGTTTGTTGTTTCGTACAAATTTTTGTTGGCAAAATATCCTAAAGATCTTTCTGAGGCATCTGTTATGAAAACTTGATAGCTTTTTGTGTCACTTTCTCTCATTCTCCAGCATTCAGCACCAGAGATTAAGACAGGTAGTACCCAACTTTTATACAGTTTGATCTTAGTGTGCCTGCTGATGCTGCTTGACTTCCATATATTTTTAAGCTTGATAAAGGATCCCCTGGCTTTACCTAATCTTGATATTATGTCCTTGTCATCTCCGCCACCTGATGTTACTACACTTCCTAGGTATGTAAAATATGCTGTATTTTTAACATCTTTTCCATTCAGTTGTATTTTGGGTGGGCTTTTTGTATTTAGGGACATTTCTTCTGTTTTCTTTCTGTTGGTGTTCAAACCGATTTTGCTGGCATTTATCTGTAAATTAGAAGGTTTTCTTTGCATTTGCGTTTCCAGATGAGATAATATAGCCAGGTCATCTGCATAATCTAATTCTTCTGGCTTGCTGAAAAAAGTCCACCTGATGCCAGTGTTTTCGTCACTAAGGAATGATCTCATTACCCAGTACACTGCTATGATGAACAATAGAGCTGTCTCACTCCTGATTTTACAAGAAAGCTTTTGTTTAAAGAAGTACCAATAGAGCATTTAAATTCTGCAAAAAAATGCTTTTATTAGGTCAACTAGTTTAGATGGTATACCGAAGTGCCTCAGGATTGTCCACAAGCTGTCTTTGTGAATGCTATAAAATGCTTTTTCAAAGTCTATGAAGTTTATGATGAGTTGTCTTTGCCATTCTGTGCATTGTTCTATTGTGTTTCCCAATATAAAAACTTGGTGACAGCAGCTCTTTCCTTTTCTGAAACCTGTCTGTTCTTTCCTTAACTTGCTGTCCACTGCTGTCTTAATTATGCATACAATTATTTTACTAAAGGCCTTGCTTGGAATAGAGAGTAAAGTAATACCTCTCCAGTTGTTACAGTTTGTGAGGTCTCCTTTCTTTGGTAGTTTGATGATGCTACCTTCAGGTCATGTTGCTGGTAACTTGTCATACTTCCATATCTTGCAGAAAAGAGGATGAAGGATACGGTATCTGCTGCAAGGATAATAGTTAGCTTTGAATAATAGTTGTCATTCCCAGGTAATTTATTATTCTTTGAACTTTTGATTGCTGTGACTATTTCCAACTTTGATGGTTCGTCTGTGTTGATTTCTAAGTCGATGCTTGCTTCGGGAATTTCTGCTCTGTTTCTTGGATCTGGGCTGTCCAGTGTCTCTTCAAAATGTTCCTTCCATCTTTGTTCTTGCTCTTTCTCAGATGTAATAATTAAGTCCTGCTTGTCTCTGACTGGCATACATGCATTTTTTGTCCAGTTAGCTTCTTGGTGATCTGATAAACATCACCCATTCTCTGTTCTGATGTTTTTTTCACCTTTTTTAGCCATATTTTCAATGAAGTTCCTGCGGTCCCTCTTTGTGGCCTTCTTTATATCTTTGTTACTGTCTGAGTATTGTTACCTTAATTTCTCTTTGATTCTTTCTGAATGTGTGTTACATAACTTGTTCTTTAGTTCTCGTCTGTCTGTCTGTCTAGCTGTCTCTCTCTCTCTCTTTCTCTCTCTCTACACGAAAGTATTTTAAGATTCGAGATAAGAGGAATAACTCCTCCATTCCACGACAATATGTCGAATAATTGCATTGAATAGTACTTAATTTAATTCTACTTTTTTTTAATTTTAGGTCGATATATGAACTGTTTATAAACATATATTTGTATAATTAGCACATGTACCGGTTGTTATAAAATATGAAATTTTTAATTTTTAGAAATTGAATCCTGATCATTTTTTTTTTTCAAAATGCAAATCAAAAGTCAAATCTAAAAATAATTTATATATTTATTTTGTTTCTTTGTTTGTTTTTTGGCCTTATTCAGGCAATTAGGATGAAGTTAATTTAAATGAGATCTGATAAACTCCTCAATACCTTCTACCAAGACTGTAAAAGGGGGAGGGGTGTTTGATGATCCAACATATGAGCCTCAACATATGCATTTTTCTCTCCAATGCGGATGTTCTATACATTTTGATTTTAATTAATCTATCAGACTATTGGGCAAAAGTACAATATATATATGTAGGTTATCAGTAACAATCTTCATTAGTCATGTGAAGTAATTACATCGGTGCAGGAAATTCTGCTTCGGTTCTGTGGTGCGCCGTTAGGCCGGAAACAGACTATAGTGGTATTTTTACGGTCAGAGTGTGGGCTCCCATGCGTGACGGGCCGGGAAATTCAGAGAGCGTCTGCTTTCTCCATAGGTGTAGAGAAGTCAGAAATCGGATAAAATGATTTTTCTACAAATGGGTACATTTTTATGAATAATATTGAAAAATGAAAGAGGTGACCTGGTTTGTGCTTGTCTTTTGGATGTTAATTTTACCTGTAATCAATTGCCAAGGTAAGTCTACCTGTCGGAAAGTGTGTGTGATACAATCTTATCTAAGGTTGCGGTTTGAACTAAATTCGATTTTTATTTTTACCTTGATTAAAACAAGATTTCATCTTATCAATGGAACATATATTTATAGGAACCGTAAATGTTGAAATGTCAGCAGTATTTTAGTTACTTAAATTACTACTTCTTCCACCTGCAATCAACAGACTGGGACACTTTCGAAGCTTAATTCCAATAATCTACAAAGAATTAACAGATTAACTTTATAAGGGAATCATTTCCCCAGAGCGTAACTTATATCAAAAATTTTGCAGTGTCAGAAAAGTTTACCTAAGTTAATAATAGATTCCTTCGGTGCACATAAATTTTGTTCTTGCGACAGTTGACATTTTAGTGAAAAAAATTTAAACATATCATTAATTAATATGCAGTGCGTGGTTACTGGAACCTAACATCGCTTCCTCATCTGAGAGCAAAGTATCTTAACAAGATGATTAACTGATTATAGGAGTCCGTAATATCGGGAGCTAATGAGTTAATCGTCGCCTCCAACTGTTGCCGCAGATTTTGATGGAATCAAACAAAAACTTCGTCAGGGGGTAAAATCATTAAACGGTTTCCTTCCCGTACATGTTCAGAACTTAATGTACCATCTTTAATTACAGTTTTTGCTTGCACTTTACCCCAAATGCTAATTTTTTTTTCGTTAACCCGTTTCCAAATTTTACTGAGCTGTCTCGGTGTTTTAGTGTGGGCGCAACTGTTCATAATATCTATGACATAAAAGGCAATTTTAAGAGATGTTCGTACAAGGTAGAAAAATTGTTCGCATTTGTACAGAAAGATTTGGGGTATAACGCTATTTGTACTTTGAACTTTTTATTTGATGTCAAAGCTATTCAGAATATGTTACGATAAGACAGGGTATTTTACTTATTCAGATAACAGCACCAGTCAACACCTTGAATTGGATCCGTGGACATTATAGGTCGAGGAATTGTCGTTTTATTAGTTTAAGGCATAAACGCTGTTACGATAGAATCTGCAGATAAAAGAAGTTTGCGTGAAGTCCCCCTTCCATGTAGAAGTTCTTGTTTGATTTCTGTAATTAAACTATTTGTTCCCTTTTAATGTGAGGACATTCACGAGAGCCCAGATGAGCTCCAGTGGATGTCGATTAAGGTGAAGATTTTGACGCAGAGTTCCCCCTCTTCATTGTTGATGAGAAACATATACAGACCTCGGATTAAAGTGGCTTAAACACCAATAGCGTTAATGAGATCTTATCTAGTTTCACAACTATCTTGTTGCATATGTTTTTCTTAATATATGAATCGTTTTTATCACATTAGCCTTAGATTTTGGGATAACTTCATATCTTGCTAAGTCATGTAGAATTTTTTTTTAGCAATGTGCAACTATATTATTTTGAATTTGCGTTCAGGAAATGATTACTGAAATTTATATAAAGAATTCTAAATCTTAATAAAATTTGTAGAAAGACAATATTATTTAATTAATTACAAAGATGTCTTAAAAAAAAGAAGGTCCGTACATATTTTAACAGAAAAAATACTTGTTTCAGTCGAACCCAAACAGTCGCCTCCTCCGTCAAATCCTCTCCAACGTTTCAGAAAAATATCTATAGAACTTGAATGAAACATCGATTCCATTTATCTTCTTTTTACAAACTAATTTGAATTGATTTGTGAACTTGTCAATACCATTACTGTTATTTATATCTAAAGCTAAAAATTAAATTCCCCATTCATTTCGGAGAATCGAGCCCCCCCCCCCCCCCCCCCTCGAAAAACGTAGACTCTGTGTATTTCTTTAATAAGCTTCAGGGATATTTTTAAAATTAATAAATATAAACATATTGATGAGAAAAAAGTCAAACAGAGTTAGTAAATTCTTAATGTCCTAACGGCTGGGCTTAAATAGCTAATAATTAAAAGTAGCGCACTGCTGTGTTTGAAACCCGAAATAAATGAAGAACGATTTAACCATTGACTTTTCGGAGGGAAAATCAAACTTCGGATTCAGACGTCTATTTTTCAGATTCAAAGAATCACCACCTTTAGCCTTAAATCGATGGTTCAGAATAACCATTAATGCAGTCATCTTTTCTAAGAGTGGTGGTAGGTATAATCTCGACTGAGATTTGTAGTGCACTGGTCAGAAGAATTTAATGTATCATGTAGTTTATAAGGAGATCAGGTAATATTAGGCCTACATGCTAGGCCTAAATGAAAAGGAAAGTGTGGGTATACTTGTAGTATGCCATTGAAATATAAATATAAAGGAAAAAGAATGAACGAATGCATTACATTTTTAGGACTATCTAGATTTCTGGAAATGGGGGTGCGTGGTCGGGGTACCCTTCTGAGACAAAGCCAAATTTTTTTTTTAATTTTTTTTTTCACAAGTGTGAACATGGTGAACGTCTTGTAATTTTAAATTAGTTTTTTTCAGAGAATTTTCTTTTAACATGAATATGTAACGTATTAGATCTATCTAAGGAATGAAATGCAACCCAACTCCCAATTTATCCTATATGACCTGGGTTGCCAACTTGCCGTTGGGCCAGTTTACACTTTATGAACCTCAAAGCGGTCTATAGATATAAAGCGTAAACTGCTCCAACCCAGGTTATAGCAGTATAACTTGGGTTGCCATTTAATTCATTCCCTATAATTTAATTTTCAATCATTATGTATAGAAAAAGACCTTAAAAACGTCTTCAGATTGTTCATGTTTTAAACGTAATGTCAAGCGGATTGATATTTTTTGACGTAAGTCATTGTGATGTAGGCAACCCAGGTTATACAACTTAGATTTATTTTTTATCCCATCAAATGATGTGTTACAAACTTACAACCAAAATTAAATTATTTTCAGATGTAGGGTTATTTCCAAACATCCTGAACTTAGCAACAAGGTCTACCATAACTGTAAATGCTACCTGTGGAGAAGAAAAGAGTGAGGTTTTCTGTAAGCTTGTGGACCATGTCAAAATTTTCCCAGACAAGAACTCTCACTGCGACATCTGTGATGCGAGGAGTCGAGACGAGAGGCGCCGTCATCCCATCACAAACGCCATCAACGGCAGGAACTCATGGTGGCAGAGCCCGACACTAACCAATGGAGCCCTGTATAATTATGTAACAATTACTCTGGACCTCAAGCAGGTATTAAAACTAGTTTGCTAATATTAGAAGTCTTGAAAGATGTTTGTGCAATACAGAAACATATGACTATAATATTTTTCAGTTTTCTATCCAGAATTTTTTTTACGTGTCATAATAAAGCAATTCGATTTTTCGAAAACCTACCCACCCATTAGAGGATTTTAAAACAAAAAATATCAATAAGGCCATAATAAATAAATTGCTAGATTCTCATCCAAATTTTTTTAAAAATCGAGGCAGGCGGGCGGCTTTTATATTTTTTATTTTTTCAGTTTTGCAGATTTTTTATTGACCTGGTCAATCGGTTTAATTTTATCTACAATACCCAAATAAAAGTCATGGTAAATGTTCAATTATCTCTTACTTCACATTATCACCAATCTTTTTCAACCAATGACCCTTGTTTAAAATATATGTAGGACTCCAAGGTGAGGTGGGACTCCAAAGTCCGATGGTCACGCCAAAGTCCAATGGTCTGCAGGCCTTTCAAAATCTGCCGGTACCCGGTACTTTTACCCGGTTGGATTCGTTCATGGTACCTGCCAAAATATTCAGTGGAGAAAAAAAATCACGTAAAAATACGATAGGCCCTATCATAATAAACACAATTTTTGTGGTTACGTAGCTTTGTATTATTGTTAGTCCGTAATTGTATCTAATAACGTTTTTGATTGGTTAGTCAAGAAGATCATTAAAGCGTTTGAATAAATGAAACAAAAGAGATTGCGTAACGCGTCTTATTAGCCCCTTCACGGTAACTGCGGTACTACTATATTGCAGGGCAAAGTAATAACGTGTGGCGAAGTTTTTGTTGAGAGATAATTAAATGACGTATATTTAACAATTACTTTTACGTCATATTTCACCAAACTATATCATATTGCCCTGCAAAAGTCTAAAGAGCAGTACCGCAGTTACCGTGAAACGGTCTATAGGCTAGATCTTATCGAAAACGAAAGTAGATTTCGATCCGTCAAATTCCTCCGTCACTGACTTTGACAAAAGCTAATGACTATGGATATACTTTAAATAAATACGGCCAAAAAAAACATAAAAATAGGAATCCAGGTATCAGATATGAATGTCAATTTAAAGCCATGGTAATGAGATTCACAAAAGATTTTAAGATACAAGGAACTAGACCGCGGAAAGTCTTCAACACAATTGACCGATCGAGAAACCGACATGAACAATAGGTAGTTCTTTGACCACCTCTGTACATTTTAATAGCCTCAACTCTTCAAATTTAAGTGTCAAAACCCGCAGCTGACGATATAAATTACTTAAAGTCTTAAATATCTGCAACTTTCTGATGAAACAAAAGGACATAAAACAGAAACTATTTCTTTTGCCATACATTTAATTCTTTGATTCAGCGGTTTCCTAGTGGTCAAGAGAATGACCTTGCGGACGTTTTCTTTCTTCCCAGTATTGTAACCATATCCAGTAAAGTGAGGGAGTCATATCTAAATTTTTTTGTCTCCAGTTTGATGTCATCTTTGTGTATTTTACACATGTATAATATTATTTTATATGTACATGTACCAGTGCATGAAATATATGCTGAATTTATTGGTACATGCTATGCATCATGTAGTGGTTCTTCTAATTTTTTTTTAATCTGCACTTTACTGTAGAACAGAAATGAATTTCATTTAATGCAAATACAATTTCATTTCTCTTTTATTAAATTTAAATTTTGAATTTCCATTTCCTTTCGTGACTCAATAATTTCTTTTTATATTTAAAACATACCACTTACAACTCAAACCTTGCAAAATTTTTTGAACAAATTTATATAAACAAATATAGGATAGAACTTAGAAGTTTTACCTAAATCTTATTGTTACTCTGCTCAAACAACTAATTTATCTATGTAATTCCACCCATCCAGTGCTAAACTTCACATGTAATGTGTATTTACCAAAAATAAACTTGGAAACAAGGCATAAAAATAACACTGATAGCAGCATACTTCTATGTGTCCAAAAACCAGGAAATGCTGTCTGGTGGCTTCTAAATTTCAAAATTTTTCCGGGGGGGCATGCCCCCGGACCCCCCTAGCAGGCTCACGCCTTCGGCGTTCGCCAAGTGGTACCTCCTATTTTTGATAAAGTACCACCTGGTTCAAATCTTTTTGAAAGCCCTGGGTCTGCACCAAACCACGATGGTTTAACACGCCAAAGTCCCATGGTGCGGAAAACAATTAACATTTATGACGTCATAGTACTAATCTGCCAAACTACAATGCCGCACCATGCCAAGGTTTTAAATAAGTATTTATAATTATCATTATGCGAAAACTAACTCTCCTCTCTCGGATAGGTGTGAAACTAACCCTAATCACTAGAAAAGTGTGAAGGCCTAACAACTATATAGATATCTAGATATCTTGGGTGGCTGCGATACTAAGCCTAATAACTCAACTAGTGTGCGAGGACTACCTGGTAATCCAAATCAAAGCAATTAAAAGGACTAACCCCAATCAGTTGAGTGGTGTGTGAGGACTTTCCTAATATCTCTGAAATACGAGGGGCGATCAGAAAATAATGCAAGTAATGTTATTCCATAGATATTCTTCGTAGATGACCAAAACCTATGTCACGCACGGGTAGATACATTCATTACCTGTGTCTGTCTAAAATTTCTTATCGTTTTATTCACTATTTCAAAAGTTACATACAAAAGAAGAAGGGGTAGTCGTACACACTGACCATTTTCTCCAAGTGATATGAAATCTGCTGTGAAAGCTGAAATAAGAACCTATATAAAAGTGAGAAGCATTCTTGATATACCCGCAAAAATAATTTTGAATGAAATTTGTCATATTTATGGAGAATCTGCAGTTTCGTTAAGCACAGTTTGTCGTTGGTTAAAAAAGTTTATGAATGGCGTTGACGTCGTTAAAGATTCTTCAAGAACAGGGCGACCAAAGACAACTGTTACTGATGGAACCGTGGCTGCAGTTAAGAAAATGGTAGAGGAAGATGGTAGATATTCTTTAAAATATATTGCTAGTGTCGTTGGTATCTCATCAGCAAAGGTTCATGAAATTTTGACCAAGCACCTCAACCTACGTAAAGTATGTGCACGATGGATACCACATCTCTTGACACCAGAACAGAAGACAACGCGTTTGAAATTTGCTAGGAAACTGTTGAAAATCTATAAAAACTGTGACAGGAGAAAATTTTCTGACTTGCTAACAGGTGATGAAACTTGGATTTACTTTTTTGAGCCGCAAAGAAAAATTAACAATATGATGTGGGTAAGGAAGAATAGCGAGCGACCAGTCACTGCAAAAAGGTGTCAGAGTGCTAAAAAGATTCTGTATGCAATTTTCTTTAATTCTAGTGGCCCAGTTGTGCAAATTCCAACTCCGCAAGGTAGAGGTATCTCGGGACAATTTTACAAAAATAATGTACTGAAAAAAATTAAGAAACTGTATGAAAAGAAAAGACCAAAGACAGGCTTGAAGAACATAAAGCTAATTCATGACAATGCTCCTGCTCATAAAAGTAAAACGGTTCAAAGTTTTTTGAAGGATGAAAAGGTTGTTCAGCTCCCACATCCCCCGTATTCTCCCGACCTAAGTCCTTGTGACTTTTTCCTATTTCCTTGACTGAAACAAATGTTATCTGGACGTCGCTATACTTCGCGGAGTGCAGTTGGTAGTGCTGTTTATCAGTGCTTAGACAGTATTCCAAGGGAAGAATACCTCGGGGCTTTCAACTCATGGGTATTGAGATTGCAAAACTGTGTGAATGTAAAAGGGGGTTATTTTGAAGGATTAAACTAGTTTACATTTTAATATATATTGTTTTCATTATTTTATAGATATACTTGCAGAATTTTCTGATCGTCCCTCGTATGTAAGCAATACTCAAAAAAAAACAAAAATAAATAAAAGCGTATGCAAGAATAAATTCAGAAATTACGGCATTTTGATGCAGGAAAACGGCGTCAAGGATTGACGTTGAATCATTGTGACATCATAAACGTCTGTCTCTCCACACCATCAGACTTTGGCATGTCAGACCATCGTACTTTAGCGCAGCGTGTCTCATAGGAAACCAGCCATCAGACTTTGGCGTGACCATCGTACTTTGGCGTCCGTACCGACAAAAAACCATCGGGGTTTGGCGAGACCATCGGACTTTGGCGTCACCATCGGACCTTGGAGTCTTACATATATACGCATGTATTACAGCAATTACCATCTTTTCAGCTGTCAAAAACATGTTGACTTTCCCAGGATTTAAAACAAAAGTAGAATGGTAGATGAATACCAATCCCGATCAGAATTAAGAAGAAGAAAAACAGAAATAAAAAAAATCGAGGCAGGGGTATAAAATCAGGGCGGGCGGGGATGAGAATCTAGGAATGTTTTCATTATGGCCTAATCATCATAGATGATTTAATGCAGGGGATTTTAAAGATACTTTAAATAAACAAAATATTTTTTTTATTTCATGAGACTGACTTAATTACTATTAGAAAGTCAGAGTTAAATTCTAAACTGTGATTGAAAAACTTTTTTGTGTAACTAAATTTGAATTCTATAAAGTTATACATGTATTTTAAATCTCTCATATGCATGTATATTTGATACTCAGTTCACTCAAAAATACAAATGCAAAACTATTCCCTTTAAATAAATGAACATCATTAACGAAATGAAAAAAAATATCTAAGCTGACCATAATGCATACTTTGAGTATATAGAGAATAATACATACCCTTTTCCATATCACATCCTGTATCAGCCCGAGACACCAATATCAGCCAGAGGGCCGAAGGCCCGAGGGCTATATTGGTCGAGGGCTGGGATGTGATGTGGAAAAGGGTATGTTTTATTATATTTATTACATACTTAGTAATAAAATACAGTTGAGAAGAAAATAAGTAAATAATCATGCATTGACTTCTTACATACATGTACATAGTCTAATGTCTCATAAGATTTGGGTTTGTTTCTATTTCTATTTCAATGCACTTGA